TGCCCAGCTGTACTCCAATTTCTAGTGCCACAATTATTCTGATCTCCTCCTGATCCGGCCTGACAACGAAAACAACTACGCCGGGCCCAAATTCCCACATGGCGACTCGGCATGTCGAGGACGGCAGCAAACCATGTTTAAGAGCATTTTGACGATCACTCCGATGATAAAATACAGTTAATTTGAGATAAATATTCAATAAAGAAAAAATGCAGATTTTTCACGAAGAAATTGACGAGATTTCTTCGGGTAAAAGACAAATTTCCTAACATCTCAAGTGTCACACTAAGATGGGGTCACAACAAGGTCGCGCGTGTGTTGCACGTTTTCCGCTCTAACTTTTGATTGGCGCATAGAACAATGCTGAAACTTGGCCGTGAGGTATAAGATAGGGGAATGGGGAAAATAAAGCTAAAAAAAGGTGTTTTTGTCACGTTTCTGACTGTTTTTTTGGCGATTTTTGGATTTCGGCCAATCAGAACGCTTGATTTAATTGAAATTAATGATTAAAAGTTAGCACCTTTTAATCACTTTTGCCGTTCGCCTGCCTACCTTTTACACGGACCATTATTTAATGTCACAGAGTCAAAAGTAATTTGTCATAATGAACTTCAAGCGCTCATTTATCTCGTTCACTACCAATAGCCGCAGCAGACCGTTAGCAAACAGAACAGGGTATTCGGGAAAAAAAGCTAAGCTTACTTACTTGTTTCAATAAATTTAAAAGAAGTAATAAAAAGCGGCACATACTCGGGTATGTTCCGGGGTGTTGAGTACATGCGATAAAAGACCATACACTAACTAAGAGTGGTTCAATATGCGGTTAAAAATGAAAGTCAGAGCTGCCTTCAATTCTTCCTTGTTTGTGTATTACCCATTCGCGCTGACCGAGAGTGACTTTTCAGCTTCAAAAGTTCTTCGATCTGCGGAAGAAATGTAGAGGTTAATTAATGATTGACTCCGATTCTTCAACTTTCATTTAGACTACCTACTATTAAGTTGATTGCGGAAAGTGTTGGACCTATACCGCAGAAGACAGATCTCTCTCCTTTGAAACAACACACATTCGAAATATCGAAATCACCTGGCAGAAAATGTTCAGCAGCATTTAGGATTTCACTATTTGTCAGCAAAGAAAAACAATGTACGTGAATAGATATCACGCCACAGTTGTTGGCTATCCAATATCCTCAATAAAAGAAAGCCTTTGTTTTGTTTCGGAATATCATGACAGTATGGATGATCCAATAACAATGTCTTGGCCTACATCACTGGGTCATCTTTAGTCTCACGTGCTCTAAAGAAGTCATCTTTATCATGCAGCACCATTACAACCTCTTACAGTAACTGCTAGGCATTTCTGAACGTAGATTTAATATCTTCGGGGACAGTTAACATAAGACATTTAGTGGAAATTTGGCAGATAACTGTGGACTGCCGAGTTTTATATTCGTCTACACAGTCTAATGTCCAGAGCGTCAATGGAACGGAACTGCCGGTGAACCGATCTCCGTTTCTCGATTCACGATAAACACTGCCCTCGGACATATTAAAGATCAGTGCTGAGATTGCCTTGTCTTCTTTTGATGAAATCTGCGGGCGAGCCGATTTACTGAGATGGAAAGATCGCCGTGTCCAGCTATGATGTTAACATGTGAAATTTATTGTAGACGCATTTGATGATAAAATCAATAAAGTCACTGTAAAGTGAGCGTGTCATGCTGATATGCTAAACACTCGCCATCGCAGAGCGCCACTTAAACGATTACAGGTAGTCGATCGACTGGACAAGGTCTTATCAATGGTCTAGGGGCCCGAACTATGTTCCTCACTGCCTGTCGAATTGCAAACCAAAACGGCGATTACCTCGGAGGACACGCGAACGGCAGAATCACCGCGCTGTATCGACAAAAGACTCGGGTCACAACGCTCGTGGATGCACAGGTAGTCCATGCAGGTGGACAAGATCATAATCATCAATGGTTTAGGGGGCGATTATGTACCTCCCTCAATGTCTGTTGATGTACGAGCTGGACAAGGGCACATTTTCAATGGTTGCCGATTATGTTCCTCCCTAACAGCCTGTCGAATTTGAAACTGGAACGGCGTTGCCTCGAAAGACTTACAAAGAACGGCATCCTTGCGCTACATTGAGGAAGTGTTACACTTGCGCCTTCGATCGCAATGCTGTTTGACGTACAGGTAGTCCATGCAGAAGAACAAGGTCATAATCATCTATTGCTTAGGGGCCGATTATGTACCTCCCTCACTGCCTGTCGATGTACAAGCTACTATGGACACAATTATCGTGGCAAGGCACAAGATACATTGCTGTGACTTGTAATCCATGCAGTAGCCAGGTCATTGTAAATAAGTGCTCCGGGCAATAAAACCGTCCTCACGATCCGCATTCTTCAGGGGCACCCAACGAGAATATAGTTTAAAACACCGTTTAAAACACCATTTAAACATAGCCTTTTTGAACGTATTTTAGTATTTAAAGGGTAGATATAGGCATAATTTTATCCCCTAAAAGTTTTCATCTGTTCGGATTTCCTAGCTGAAAGTCTAGTGATCCGCCGAAAATTATAGAGATCAAAACTTACCTTTTCGAAAATTCCAGCCAGAGAAAAGGCTCCCGAAAATTCTAGGTGACCTTTTTAAAGTAAAAATCCGTTAAAAATGGGCAATTATACCACTTTTTAGATGTTCGAAAATCCTAGGAGAGGCAAAAAGGCAAGAAATTTTACAACAAATGTTCCGAAAATTCTAGATCTCAAATCGTCTTCCGAACAGACATTTTCCGAAAATTGACGTTAGGTGCCCCTGATTCTTCCTTTTGAAGATGAAGGATGTCCTTCGTACTTCTCGTCACAACTAGGTAGCGAAAAGACGGTGCATTGGCGCCACGCGAGAGATGACAGAAATTGTTCAGAGAGTCAATGAAATGGCCTTGAATGAGACGGAACTAACTGCCGCGCAACGAATGAACCGATCGCCTTCTCTCTACTCTCAATGAAATTTTCCTTCCAACATGTTGAAGGTATTCAAATCGCCGATCATGTTGAAATGTACAGATCGCCGATGAAATCTGCGGGCCAACCGGTTTACCGAGAGGCCCAGTTCGCCGTGTTCAGCTACCATGTTAACATGTGAAATTTACCGTAGACTTATTTTTGATAATGAAATCAATAAAGTATGCGTGTGGTGCTGGTATAGCTAAACACGCGCTATCGCCTAGCGCCACGCAAGCGATCATAGGTGGTCCATCGACTGGACAAGGGCAAGGGCAATGGTCGCCGACTATGTTTATCCCTCACTGTCTCTGGAGTTTCAGATTGGTCCGGCGATTGCTTCGCAAGACACGCTAACGACGGCATGACCGCCCTGTTGGGCTTGCGACTTCGATCGCAGTCGCCCTTAAACTTTTTTTCTGCAGCTTTTAGATGATGACGTCACATTTTCAAGTAATATAAGCAATGGTCAGACTCTCCAAATTTCATAATGCCCTGTTTCTGCAATGGAGGAAGGTCAAGAAAAGGTGGAAGAATCTCAGAACAGTAGAACACCATTTGTCACCACCTTCCATCCCAGGAACCTGGTTGCCGGGAAAATCATTCGTCGAAACCTTCCAGACCAATTACCAGGTACTTTTCCTTGTAACAGGACAAGTTGCCGCACATGTTCCCATGTCAATTCATCATCCACAATTACAACACCCAAAGGGCATGTTAACATCACGGGACATTTTTCCTGTATCACTTATAACGTGGTTTATTGTCTGTCGTGCTCCAAATGTCCATCGATAGTGTACATTGGAGAGACTGGAAGAAGGTTGGCGGACCGCTTTAGAGAGCACCGCAGGGATGTCATCAACGGGAGAAATGACCTTCCTGTATCTGCCCATTTCAACCAAGCCAATCATACACTGGAGGACATGAAGGTTGCGGTGTTGAAGGCAGGCCTAGCCAACCAGGAATACCGCAGGAGGCAGGAGACTCTTTTGATTTGCAAATATGGAACTGTGGCTCCGAGCGGCCTTAATTTGAGACTTTGATACTCTTACTTATGACGCACGCTAGTGTGCAATCGGGCACTTGAGCTAATTTAACGAAATTTATAACGGATTTAGTCCTGTACCCTGAAGAAGGCAGCATTACCGAAAAGTCGGTCAAAACTCTTTTGAAGTGCGTCGTTCTTACAATTTTCAAATTAAGATTAGTTTAGGCTTAAATTAAGAAAGTGATGATCTTAGGCAAGATGCTGGGAGTCTTAATTTAAGATGTTAGTGTTTACGAAGTAGTTGTTTAAAACCTTGTCCATGAGTCATAATAAACGTGGCACAGAAATCTTGATCCCTTGATCCTCCCTCCCCCCTTATTTTTTGGTCAAAGATGCTGGCCATGCAATTGAAGAAACATTTTTCAACGGTGGGTAGGGAGAGGGTGAGTGCTCTATTTCACAGATGAAATCCAAAAAGGAACGAGGCCAATATCGAGCCATGTTGACCGAACAAGCTTGGTCAATAAAGGATTTATTATCAGGCCAAAGAGATGCCTTTTTCTTACAGGACAAGCGGGAAAGATGGGCCTAACCCACTGGCTTATCCGCGGGTAGCCAATCAGAAAACAAGAAGTGCTGTCGTCCATTTAGGTTCTTGAGAGGATGGGTCCGTATTCTCTGAAGAAATAAATTACTTGTGGCTAAGACAATTTAGCGGTTTTCAGCCTATTTCTTACATAAATTGGTTTTCTGTAAACATGACTTTAACAAGAAAAATTGAAGCACTGAGGGAGCACTTGATCACGTGAATTTAAAGATGTAGATTGAAATTTGATAATTCATTAGAAACTATCAACCTGTTCCAAATTTTAAGCTTAATAGTTTCTTGTATACAGCGAGTCTTACTAGCAAATTGTAGCCTATAACAAGGTTAAAACAGTTGACGGAATAACTCAACCGCCACAACACACTCTCACGACGACAACAACTTTAAGCAACAATTTTATTGCCGGTTGATATTCAATAAAACAGTGACAATAAAATTATTTAGCCTATGATTTAATTTTTACATTTTATCTCACGCTCAGGTATGGGGGTTAATCAAATGTTAACAAGATTTTATCTTGTACGATCATGTAAATAATAGTTACGTTAACCCAAAGTGAGAGACTAAAACAGTCTGCTATAAAGTTAAAAATCCAATCCTAGAGGCGTCCTCCGTTCATCATTCAGCGTTAAACAATCCGAAGGTCGAATATCGCTTGTATATGATTCTTACATGAAAAAATCCCATGAAATAAATAATAGGAATTATGAAATTGCTTAAGTATTTACAATATCATTTAAAAAGGCGTGTTTCAACTCCCTATACACAGGCATCTCTGATCACGCGTAATAAGGTATATTCAAAAAAACGCCTGTGCAGAGGAGCAAGCGGAGCAAGTTGACAAGAAGCCTGCAGAGTCACCAACGTAACAGGTTTCGCAGGAAGATCTCACGTAGCCTATGCCAGGCTCTCAGATAGTTAGGACGTCGTGAAAATAAAAAAAAGCCAAGCGAAATCAACACACGCGCGATCTGGGGAAGTGGGCAGGGGCATTCATTGGCGCCCTTTCTCTCTCCCCAGCTCCCGCGCGTTTTTCTTATCACTTTTTGCTGCCCGACTACCATGGAGCCTGAAACAGGCTAATCTCAGCGCTGCTAACGAGAAATCTTCACGTGCATCGCTCGTTTTGGTACATTTTCTTGCCGTCACGTGCACTACGCGACGAAAACGTGAAATATGTTAATGCGACGTTTTATTGAGGAACTGATCACACGACTACTGGTCTTTCTGGTCCGAAAGAATTCAACATCAGGAGAATTCACCTAGGTTAATGAAAATTTGAGGAAGTTGGATGAATCGCAATGAAGCTTGAAAGAACGCTAGTTCACTGCACAAGTGGCGATTACTTTATTGCTACTGTCGTACTGGCATCAAATATGGGGAGCTTTAACAACAGCGACGGCGACGGCCAACTCTGCACGTCACACTTTTTGGCACATTTCATAGTCGTAACTCTACGGCCACGGCGTGAAATTTGCGTTCGCAAGGTATGGAAGACACAGATAGACGACAACTATTTTTTTCTCTTTTTGAACCTCCATTTGGTCCCTATGAATCCAACTCCAAATTCACCTACACTTGTCATTCTAAACGAAATGGAATGATCGCAACGTCTGAGAAAACGCAAATCCATTTCACCCTTAATTAGGACATTCTCGTTTTCGTCGCAATGGACGACGGCAACGGCAACGGCAACGGCAAAAAACCAACGCCACTCGCACAGTTACGAAGGCTGCTCTAAAAGGAAAACGTATCCCCTGTATAAAAGAAAATGATGCAACAGAACTCTACTTTTTGTCAAGTCCCATGGTTACTTTGAATTCTATACAATGTACGTCCAGCACAGCACACAATCAATAGCCGTTCAGACAACAGAGAGGAGTGAAACAGGTTACATAAAGAAAGCTTCCCAAACCCATCAAGTTACACATATATATGTGATAACAAAGAACATTGGGCTCCTCTATAACTGGTTAAAAAGTGAATTGTGTAAATCAAAAGCTCTTAAAGCGAAGGAGGTGTACTTTCCATCGCCTTTGTTGACCAGTAACATCTGTACTTTGGTGTAGGAATCTTGCTTGTGAGCTGGCAACCGCACCTCCATCTTTCTTAATCCCACAACTGATATCACTTCAGTTCAGTTTAGTTCAGTTCAGTAGAAAAGCAAACTCGTTTGTTTCAAGTTGTTGAAACCGAAAATGAATTCATCAATGTAGGTCCGCTACCAGACCCTAGATTGCATGAAATGTCTCTATGTGATTTTCAGCGCGTTACACAATGTGTCATACTTCCATAAACTTGAGTTTAGCACTGGCAGCTACAAAGGGATCCTGCCACATTTTCCGCAGATCGCCCTGAAAAAGAAAAAAAAAACGCTAGAAGTTCAGTCTTCTTGCTGGCCCGTCACCGTGCGTACTATTCGACCGTGCGACAACTTATTTATTTTTTTGTTGACAGAAGCAAAAACTTGGTCACTTCAATAAAACTCCTCGCGGTTAATCCTACAGAACAGTTATGGTCACCAAAACTACCTTTTAACGGTCTCCATGTTGAGACCGACCAACCTTTAAATGAGATGGAAAACACGGGCTTCAAGGCTGATGGTTGTTGTCGACAAGTCATTTTCGCGTTTTGGAAACAAAAACGCGAAAATAAAACACACGGACTTAAATACCATACTGTAAAACGTTTTTAGCTCCTTCTCGTTTCATGAAGTGTACGTAGCTTTCTACCAACCAAGTCTTGCCTCCAGACGCTTTAAACTCTTTTGTTCACTTTTCCCCCGGAATCACAAAAATTAATACTTGCAAAATTTACATTTTCGAACACTAGTAAGAAGGTAGTCAGTGACAAAGTGTCTGTATAAACAGTACACTACCAACAAAAATGGCCAACAAAATCCCAGCCTGGTATGGGCACAACCTCTTTGGCCTACGTGACAGGCGTCGAGAGGGGAGGGGAAAGGAGGGAAAAGGGAGAGCGGATTGGGGAGAAGGGGAAAGGGAAATGCTCTCTTTTCCCTTTCCCATTTTACGCTTTCCTCTATCTCCCCTCCCCTCCCCTTTTTTGCGCCTGCCACGCAGGCTAAACTTGTTGGGTGCGTTGAGCATCTTGCTCAATTTTGTTAGGATACCTTGAATGTTTTGGAGGTAATTTTTTTTCCCATTTAAGGAAAGGGCCCGTTGCACGCGATTTGGGAAGCAGTTCAAGATAGATCTTACCTTGAGATAGGCCATGACCAGAATAGGTAATAGTGTAAATGGTACAAGGTACAGTAATGCTGGTTGTGCTGCTTTATACACTTCAGACGCTACTGTAGCGGTAACTAAACCTGGGGAAAACAAGACAACAATAAGGTCCAAACTAGTTTACTTCATCACATTCAGTGAGAAAATACTTCTATCCCAAGAAACATCCTCAATTATTTGAAGGACAGGCGTTCAAATAATGGAATGTGGCACGAAGTACTGCTTCACATCTCACAACACTGTCTCCACAATATGAAGGCCTGGAACAGGCTAGACCCTCGATTGGATGTTACCGGATTTCCGTTTCGCAAAATGATCGCAGGCACTAAAGCCAAAAGGCTGCCTACAACTTCACTCAGCGGATTCTCCCGAAAGTAAACGCTCCATTGAGCCTCTACCGAACAGGGACGCCGAGTGAGGTTCATTCTCAGCTCGTTCCTACCCTCCAGTCTCAGGCCGTAAAAGGTTACCCTCTCGGCTGACTCATGACAGACTCTGAGAACTGATGACACATGATGGCCATTACAGGTAGACCACTACTCTTATCTCTATTTTTCTCTTTTTTCTATTCTTGCCCCATGATATAACGATACAGTTGTAAACAAAGCGGTTGGGGTTTTGCTGAAGAATGGGTGGGATAGGGGAATGGGAGAAGGCTGAGAACAAAAAAAAGTCCCCCATATACATACCCACATCAGTAGCATACTTTGAAGTGGTTTGGTCGATTGCAAAAAATCCAAAATCACATTTTACGTTATATATTTAACACCATTAATTTCTTGACGTTGACTCTTTGGAACCCAGTAAAGTTTCCGAAATCAAGCCACCAAAGAAGACTTGATCCACAACAGCTAGCTATTTTTGAAATGAAAATTAGGGGTAACTGGAGATAATAAGAGTTTACACATTCTTAGCTAAGAGATGTAGTGACGTTATCAGTATCTTACCTACAATGTATCCAATAAGTGAGCAATGAAAATAAGTTATCTTTGATTGGTCCATATCAGCTGCTGCGGCCGCTTGCTTTTTATAATTATCATATCTCATAACAAAGCACAAGAGAAGTCCTGGCATAACCTTAAAAGAAAATCAGAAATGAAGATAAACCAACAGTTTTTGACTGAAAAGCCCATAAAAGCCATAAGAGATCAGCCTTCTGTCACATCAACTACTTCCCAAATACAGTGGAACCTAGATATA